AGGATTACGGCAATGTACAACTTTTATCATGGCCAGAGTCGTAGTCGTGGTGTCAAGTACGTCCATTATAATGATAACTAACGACTGATAAGTGTGACAAGAAGTACGGCCCGGGTATCGGGTCGACAACTAAAGGGCTCCGTAGAGCCAGGGGCGACGGCAACGAGGTCAGAGACCCTCCTACCAAAGCCAACTACGAGTCAATCATGACCGCTGGCGCGACCAAGTAGACTGGGGACATGCGTACCGCCGGAGCGGCAGCACGTACAACGCGGGTATGCTGCCATATAAGGCAACAAACCCCTTTAGGACCGCTTGCGCGGCCCCCGACGTGGAGTGCGATCACCGAAGTGACTGCGTGGCGTGGAGAACGCCAACCCGCCATATATCTCTCCGAGGAGCTCAACCATCTGCGATGGTGGCCCCCTTCAGCCGCTTGCGCGGCCCCCGACGTGGAGTGCGATCACCGAAGTGACTGCGTGGCGTGGAGAACGCCAACCCGCCGTATATCTCTCCGAGGAGCTCAACCATCTGCGATGGTGGCCCCCTACAGCCGCTTGCGCGGCCCCCGACGTGGAGTGCGATCACCGAAGTGACTGCGTGGCGTGGAGAACGCCAACCCGCCATATATCTCTCCGAGGAGCTCAACCATCTGCGATGGTGGCTCCCTTCAGCCGCTTGCGCGGCCCCCGACGTGGAGTGCGATCACCGAAGTGACTGCGTGGCGTGGAGAACGCCAACCCGCCGTATATCTCTCCGAGGAGCTCAACCATCTGCGATGGTGGCCCCCTACAGCCGCTTGCGCGGCCCCCGACGTGGAGTGCGATCACCGAAGTGACTGCGTGGCGTGGAGAACGCCAACCCGCCATATATCTCTCCGAGGAGCTCAACCATCTGCGATGGTGGCCCCCTACAGCCACTTGCGCGGCCCCCGACGTGGAGTGCGATCACCGAAGTGACTGCGTGGCGTGGAGAACGCCAACCCGCCGTATATCTCTCCGAGGAGCTCAACCATCTGCGATGGTGGCTCCCTACAGCCGCTTGCGCGGCCCCCGACGTGGAGTGTGCGCTCGCCGCAGCGGCGACACGTGGCGCGGGGTACGCCTCCAGTCCGTAAAACACCCCTGCTAGGGCCGCTTGCGCGACCCGTCGGTCTCCTACGCCCACACCCGCGACTGCGAGTGCAGCGTGCCCGCGTCAGATCTTCGACCACGTCGGCTCCCCAAGGGGAGGATTCCCTCCGACGTGACTGCCCCGAAGGGAAAAAGACTGGCTTGAGCTGAACCGTGAAAATTTGGGAATCGAGGGCCAGAGTCGTAGTCGGGATCTTGGGCCAGGTCGATTGCCCACATAAACAGGGCTGTGAGTGAACCTGAACGTCGATTAGGTGCTTATGACTACGATATCGGTGTGCTTCTACCTGGACTACATCATACTCCTCCTCGCTGGCTCAGTCTTCTTGGCTCTTGATACTGCGGGCATTACGGGGGACACTCAACAGAGGGCACGTGGAAACGGGTATGCAGTCCTGAAGGGCAGACAGGGCGCGAAAATCGCAGAAAACGCCGGGTACCAAACCGATCACCCCCGATAGGCCGCTGGTGCACCTGGACGGTCCCGATCAGAATCACGTTCTAGGCAAGTTCGCTCCGTGGGACCGAGAGTCGCGCTCGGTGACCGGACCGGCGACTTGGAAGCTGACGTAGAATAGCAGGAACTAGGTGGGGGTGACAACCGCTGTCGCCTTGCCCCACACCCCGGGGTCGCTAGATTGTTGCTTTCCTTTCGGTTTGCACGCCACGCTGCCTCCCCGTGGCGCACGCAGCGGGAAGAAACCTCCTCCTCATGACCTGAGCCCCCCAGCGGGGGCCTTCCCGCCCAGGACAAGAGGACCGGTATACCGGCTCGTTGGAGGTCGTCGTCGCTTGGCCCTGTTGCCCGAAGGCGCAAATTGGGAAGTGCATAAACAGTGCTGTGGAAGCAGTCACTAGCGCGCGCGGGCTAACGCACGTGCAATCGCACGACAACAGAGCGCAGGTACGTATGTTGATACCTCGGTTAGCTCTTGTAAATAGATTGGAGCAAAATGGTCTGCTCCAGGTCGACCAAGTATCGCTATTGAACGCCACCGGAGCTATCTACTCGTGTACAGGCTGGGTAAAAGCGCGTTTTGTTTTCGTGTTACAGTCGAAGCCATGATCCGGACTTAGGACCGCATTGGGGTCGGCCCCTGATTCAGTCTCCGTGACCAACCTCTGATTTTAGCGGAACAGATGGATAGACGCAGGAGGGCGCAACCACCAGCCAACGGAAGGAGGAGTTTCATGATCATCTATTGACATATTTAATGTGGACAAGAGGTCTGAAAAATCCTGAGCCAGGATATGAGCGCCGGTCGCGGCAGCGGATCGTGGCTGACACCCGCGTAGGGCGGGTGTCCACGGGGCTCTTGAATCAGAAACCACCAGCCAACGGAAGCCGAAGTCATAAAACACTTTCCTTCGACAGTTTGAGCTGTTGCGCTCAAGGAACAGCGACATTGCTGATAGGGGGCGTTAACACGGTATGCCCCTCGCGACAGAAATGTCTAGGGAACGTATCTCTCAGCTCCAGGTAGAGCGGCACAACCTGGAGGACGGCAAGAGTGGCCTGGGACTGTTCGGCAGACCTGTAAGCCGTAGATTTATAGGGAGCCAGCCTGCACTTTCTTCCTCGCACCATCGCATGACTGCGCTCCCTCCACTGCAAATTGAAATCAGGTTTTGGTGGGTCTTAACTCTCTGGCTCCGTGTACCTACGCTCCCAGTCTGCTTTTGATTGCGACACTGCAATCATAAGACGACCAGTAGACGCGTGGTCGAGATCTAGCGACAGGATATGACGCCTATGCAAACAGTTGTCTACACGACGAAAGTACATCGCGTGGACACACTTCCTGCAATGCTTGATGAGACTTCGAATTTTGTGGGTTGGGGACCAGTTGGCTCTGTCCCTACTGTAACGGGGTTACACCACATGTGTGACTTACACAACATGTGTGAGTTACATATCATGTGTGATTTACACAAGGGTACATCAATTATTGTAATATCTGTTCAATTGACTATGTAGACTAACGTGTAATTTTGGAGATTTAGCGGCTCGACGTGGCGTCTGACGTGAGCCAGACTGAGATTTCCTCGATAGGGTTTCTATGAATAGGCAGTCTGTATCCGCTGGGCACTACAATTTACTTCGTTTTGATTCAAATGGAGATCGACCGCAATATTGACGCCCACTCCTCCCTCATCGTTGTGCACAATGCAGTCAAGTGACTGGTCCAAGCCGATCAACATGACAGCAGTGATCATTGGCATCAACGAAGATGGCTCACTGAGCGCTACAATCAAAACACGAAAAGCATAGAATTACGATATTATATAGGGGTGGGGGTGGTCAACGAAAACCTGGGGGTGGTTAACGAAAACCTGGGGGGTGGTTAACGTTTCCCTAAACTATATGGCCTACATCAATCAATTAGCAGCAGTCACTAAGCATTACATTCTATAGTAATGTTTATGATCATTGAAGTAAATTGATGGATTTACGTTGACAGTTAATCATGTCAATTCTGCGGTGGTCGGGTGGTCCCCCCGTTTTGGGTTCCCCCCCCCCCCCCCCCCCCGTGTCATATTGCGGTGGTCGTCCCGTTACAACGATGACGTAGGTCATAACTGGAGCGAAGTAACACTTCGCATGACATTCTTACGCAAATCTCAGATCAAACACTCCCAGCAGGCTTTCACGAACAGTTTCTTATTCCCTTTGTTGGATCTGCTGTAACATGGTAGGTGACTATCCTTCCATTGCTGCTTGTGTCATTTCAACCATCTACGAGCGACTGAAGTGACTTACATCGATACTCGAGTCAACAATGCTACTTCTATGCTTCTTTCTGAGCTATAGCTCTATTCATTGTCAACGTTCTTCGCGATCGCGAGTTTGCGTCGCCTTTTGTGCAACCCATAGACTCAGTTGGGAAGTGTAGGTCTAAACTTGAGTCAAAAACAGCCGAGAAAGAGGTGATAGTTTCTGTAGGTTTGTACTTATCCAGGGGTCACCGCGATATTTACAACGGACTTCTGGCGCCGAGATAAGACCTTCCAGCAGGCACGTTCAAGATTTTGATCACTATCCGCAAACGCATGAAGCGCAGTGATGGACGTGCGGACAGAAGCGGAAGGTGCTGATGTGAGGTGGTAACTGAGTCGATTCCGTTCGAATGGCTTTCGTCTCGCAATACGTATTGGCTTCTTTTCAGACGAATAGAGAAGGTGGCGCTCCAGCTGAAGATCTCGTGAGTTTCGCTAGTGCCTGGATCAGTCAGTCGCTTCGAGATTGCAATTGATACTTAAGAAAAGCGATAATGCACGGGCAAGGTTATCAGGTCGGTCGTGGTGCATGCTTCGTATTGCTTTTGTATTGCATACTAACAGTCTGGCACCTCTCTGAGAGTAGCAAGTTTTCAGGTAAATGAGCCGGTTGACTTGTAATGTCGTTGATCTTTCTCCAGAGACACTTTATATTGTGTATCGACTCCCCTGCTGGCGTTCCATAGCGTGCCCTTCCATTGCACCTGTTCCGCTGGAGCGTCCCAAGCACCAACGACGAAATCTTCCTGACATTTCTTCAACGAATGCTTTTCATTCGCTGTTGAAGCCGGACGCATCCCCACTATCAAAAATGCAGCGGCTGGAAATGGATCGAGCGAGACACGTCGCTGAGGACGACGACGCCAGCTGCTGCAACATGCTGCTTGTCGGCTTGCATCAACTTAACTCAGCGTCTCTCGTGACGCAATTTCCACCACTCATACTCGAGAATGCGCTTCATCTCTTATAATGTCACGCTACCGCTAGCGCTGATTGGCTCACGTCTGATGAGGAGGTGGCGGCGAGGGTCTGTTTTTCGCGAGGCGCAATCTTATGTTGTGAACACCACTTTACACCAGCGCCGTCACGATGTCGTCGGTTCAAGTCGCGCCCACGCGCATGTACGTCGCGTCGTAACTTGCGCACTGTATCAATTGGTCGTACCGGAGCTTCACCTGACCTGCATACGGTCGTTCTTCTTGATGATTACAGGGCGTTGACGACGTATAAGGCCAAGAGCGTTAGCGCCAAAAAAGGTGCGGCGTTTTGTCGCTTCGGGTCACGCGAAAAGCAAGGGCACTTGATACGTTATACGAATGCTTCTGTATGTATCATGTATACCAGGATTTGAGCTCTTGAAGAAGAAGGCCGATGCGTTGAAAATGCGGTTTCAGGCCATGCTGCGGGAGATCCAAAAGGTCTTCTGACGTGTTGCAACGTCTCAGATGCTGAATCCGTTTCGGTGTTAATCTTTTTCTTTGACTTTTTCACACAATGACCGTAGACAAAGATGTCCATGTCGACCGAAGCTTCTGAGGCCTTTTTCTCACTCACACAGGCGCAGTACGCAGCCGGCGACTTTCGCAACAAAGTCATCGAGTCGGTGACTACCGCCGAGATCCGCACACAGAACCGCATTGACAACGTGGCCGGCGTGAAGCTGCCAGTGTTTACAGAGGTGGAAGTCAGTCGCGAAAAGAGCGACAATATTGGTCTCGCCGGAGGTGGTGGGAAGATCCAAAACTGCCGTGCCAAGTTCCGCGTGTTGCTGCGTGCACTGATCAAGCTCGCGTCGCTCCAGGTCGGTGGCGTCCGAAACATAAGATGCTGATCCGTCACACCTTGTGCTTACTTGGATCTGCGCTTGGTGCTAGACGTCTTTTGTGACATTGGACGAGGCTCTGAAAGTGACTAATCGCCGAGTGAACGCGCTGGACAATGTGCGTTAGCCTGTGGCTGGTGCTAGTGACTACCATCTCTGGATTGCTGATTGGGCAATGATGCAATTCGATGCAACATTTCCAGGTGACCATTCCCCGTATTGAGAAGACCATCTCGTACATCTCGAGAGAGCTAGATGAGCTGGAGCGCGAGGATTTCGTGCGGTACGTAGCGCTCGATGTGCAGTGGTCGTCGTGACTTTGGCCCCAAACTTACAATGCCAGTCTGTATACGACATGACAGCATCAAAAAAGTGCAGGCGAATAAGCAAGTGATCGAGAAGGCAATCCAGGCTAAGAAGAAAGGTGCGAGATGGTGCTTGTCGTCGATACAGAGTACTGGATGCATCGATCTGTCAGACGCTCATATTTCTGTGCGTGCTATGCTAGAAGCGGCTGCCAATATCGCTCTGGGCGGGGACCCGAATGCTAATGTTGTGGCATCGGACCACGACATTCTGTCCCAGTACGAGATTTCTGCGGATGCCGATGTGGTGTTCTGAGCGGGAAAGCAGACGGACTTGTGAGCAAAACCCTGTGAAGCTTTGATCGAAGCCATTTAATGCAACAGAATGTCACGAAATCCACGCGATTCACTTCATTTTCCAGTTCGTATCGCTTGTGTATTATTACCCCTATTCGCTCCCAGGTTCCTGACCAGTCATAACTTGTGCTCGCGTGCGTGTGGGAAGACAAGCGGCAGTAAGTATCATGGAGCCCATTGCCAAGCGACTAAAGCAGTCCGCCGAGAGCGAACTGCACAATCGCAGGACTTTACCGCGATGTGACGACGACATTGCCGAGCGGATCAAGTGTCTAGAAGCAGAGCTTCAAGGTGGGCACTCTGACGAAGACTCGAGCGACTCCGACGACAGCTCCGACACCGATTGTGACAAGAGCAAAGAAATCGTAAACTTGTCCGCGTATGCGTCGGAGCGCATTGAGGCGCTGCCTGAGCAGCTGCTGCCAGCAACTCGGCGGTCGGTAAAGCTGCCGCCGGTCAAGAAGAAACGTGGGGAGACGACGCCGGAGGAGGACAACGCGCACACTGCCAACAAAGCGCTCGAGCTGCTCAGCGATGCGCTGACGTTTCGCAAGAAGGTCCCGTTTGCATGCAAGCCGTGCGAGTTCATTGGCAAGGACATGGAGGCGTTCCAGGCCCATCGGGCGTCAAAGGAGCACTTGGAGCGTGCAGATCGTGCCGACCCGACGCTGCAGTGCGCTCTCTGCGCCAAGTCATTCACGAGTCGAACTCAGGTGGACGAGCATCGTGCTGGCAAGTGGCATAAACAGCGTGCGCAGCAGAAGAAGGAGAGACACACGATCAAACTGTGTTACGACTTTGTGCGCGGCGCGTGCAAGTGGGGCGAGCGCTGCACGTTCGAGCACGTCGAGACGAAAGCCATGCGCGCTGGTCGAGTACTGGACAAGACCCGTCGACGCGTGTGCAGCAGCTTTGCGCGCACGAACACCTGCCGCTACGGTGACAAGTGTCTGTTCTCACACGACGAAAGAAGAGACGACCGAGAGCCGCTTGCTGCGCCGCGGTATGCCTAACACATGTACACGCACGTGGTGCATTCGTGTTCGTATCTTGCCCACGTCTGTAGGTTCCCGTGACCCGTCCTGCTTGGTGAACACTTGGCCTGCAGGCTATAGCCCCAGCAGCTCGTTCACGAGAGCTTCGACGCGCTCGAATGTGAAGGCGCCCTCGAGACGACGCGTGACATCCACGACAGCTTCTTGTTGCTTCTGGTTACGAAAGACCAGCAGCACGGGGAGATCGGCCATGTCGATCGACGCGTCAGCTTCCTCGGCCACCAGTGCGGCAAACTGGAGAGCAGTCAAACGAGAACGACAGGCAGACCAGTACGTCAAACGCGCCTCTCATGCGACCGTGAGGGGAAGGGCTTTACCTTGACATGGACGAGCTTTTGGGCCAGCAGCTCAAGGTGCGTGTTCAGCAGACTGCAGGCGTAGCTGTCGGAGTGGTAGAGATGCACCAGCATCGATTTCCAGCCAGTGAAGCTCATCGTGTCGGCCGTGAGCGTGACGAAGCGCTCGGGTGAGATGTACTCCAAGCCCCCGTAAGTCGTGCGACGACGACGTGCCGCTGCGTCCTCGTGCATCTCCTGGACACGCCTCGCTGCATACTGTGCCAAGACCGCATCGTCTTCCAAGTCGCTGTCGTCGCTGTCGCCTTGCGAACGCGGCGATGATTCCAGCGCCGGTCGTCGAGGCAACGGGGGTACTGCTCCTGTGGCAATGCGGTGGAGCACTGCCGTGCGCTCCTCTTCCTGTCTCTGGCGCTACAGCACATCGAACGTTTGGTCACAGCGCCTCGATCTGTTGTGCTCTCTCGGACACTCAGCTGCCTCGTACCTCTTCGCGCAGGGAGCGCGTCTCGGCCTCGAAATCAGCGATGACCCCCTTTGGTCCCGTGTGCGTCGAGGCAAAGTCACGTCTTGTGCCTGCGCCAGAGGGCCGCGCCGACTTTCCCCACGTCTCTGCGCCCACAGGCCTTTGTCTCCACGGACCTATTGGGTCCGCTTTAGAGCGCGCTCGTTGATCCGCTGCAGCTCTCTCGTCGTCGCTGTAGCAGCACAAGTGAGAAGCGCTGGGGTACCATTGAGACAGCAGCTAACGCACGAGGCGGGTGCAGCGCTGCTGCGTACCGCGAGGCGGAGTCGGAGGCCATCGGAGCGCCCGCCCAGTTCGTCCGACTCGCGATCTTGGAGCGCGTTGTGCTGCAGGAAAAAGGTCTCTGTATTTGACTGCGGTGCTGCCGATGCTCTGTACGGCATGGGACCATATGGTCGAGGGCCCGATGGGGAATGATATTGTGGGAGCTCAGGGACCGTGAGGAGATGCCGACTCGAGCTTTCTGCGAGTCAAGTAGCGCTCTGTGGCTACAAAGTCGTAGGCGTCGATGCAACAAATCGATTACCGTTGACCAACACTGTACTGCTCTCTACCGACTGCTTTTGTCCTGCCCAGCTCTCAGCTTCCTCCGTCGAGGCGATAAGCATCCGCAGCATCGATTGAACTCGTCCTCGTACTCTCTCTCTCTCTCTGTCATCCGACTCGGCAAAGCTCGGACGCTGCTCGCCTCCACGTCTTCACACGGTTCTCAAGCACCCGCTGCCTCCATCAAGCCATCTCTCGTGCGCGTGCAGCACTCGCCCCGTCACCGTCAAATGTTTTAGCCCTTGCCCGATTGCTTCATGAGCCACTGAATGACCTGATCAATGTTGACGAGACGCAGCGCCGAGATGGGGATTACGAGCCACGGGTTGTCCACAATATAGTCGAGGTTCAGCTCACGAATGAGCTCGGGCTCGGAGATGTGAGGCTCCAGGTCAATCTTGTTTGCCAGCACTAGCAGTGGCGTCGTCGCCAATTCACTGCCCACCACACAGCAACAATCAAACACAATCAGCCACGACACTTCACAAAGCTGCAGCGGCACGAGGGTAACAGCGACGAAACCGCTCTGCGGCGTACCGGTCTTCGAGCAGACGGTGTAGCTCCTTTCGGGCCAACGAGATTTGGTCAAACTAGTGCAAAGAGGAGATCGAGTCAGTGTTGTCCAAGAAGCAGCGGTAGGGCCCGACGTAGAGCACCGCGACGACATACCGCATTGGCGTCCACCACATATATAATGACGTCACAGCCGCGCGTGTAGCGGCCCCACTCGCTCCTGTATTGTGCCTGTCCACCGATATCCCAGCACTTCATCTGTACACCGCCTTTTTTCACCAGTTTAACGTTTAATCCAATCGTCGGACACGTCTCCACGGGGTGCCCCATCGCCATCACGTTCAGCAGCGTTGTCTTGCCACTAATGATACAGCAGCAGCGGCAGCACAGCACAAGCGTTAGCAAGAAGGCAGAAGTACCGGGGACGGAAGTCTCCGAGCTATTCAGTGAGGCAAAAGAGCTGCAGGACCGCACCTGTTTTCGAGACCGACGAGCACGACCTCGAGCTTCTTTGTGTAAAAGGCCTGCAACATCTTCTGGAGAATGCCCCCCATAGTCGCTACTTCTTTGGCTACTGCCAGCGACTGCGGCTGCGGCTGCTGCTACTTTGGCTACTGCCAGCGACTGCGGCTGCGGCTGCTGCTACTTGTTGTGTAGAGGACACGTCAGCCTCTCGACGTGAAGATATCACCTCTTTTTGCGTTTTGGCGAGGGGAGTCGGGCATGGCAGGTGCCGAGCGGATGGGGAAGCGGACTTTTCTATGTCGACAAAGGTGAGGTACGGCACTTGACGTTTGTATGGCATTCATATCAACTCTGGAAGGAGGCTTATTTCGCGGTCCTCAACTGGCAACTGATTTTTCTGCGTCCGAGCTAAATTGCCGCAGCCCTTCAGAATGCGGATATATGAGAAAAAAGCAGCCTAAATCACGCAGGACATTTTTCTCGAGGATAAAAATTGCACCACGAGAAAAATGGGGTATACGTATTTGAGGTGTTTATTATTTAGATGTCTGTACACGTATTCAAGATCTTTCGTATGTGCCCACGCATCACTTAATTTATTCCTGCCCCCTGAATACATACAAAATCATTTACGGCTTCTTTCCTCATTATTGTCATCAATGAATAAAAAGGTGCGACCATTTCCCTAGCGCAGCCTTACATGTCGTCTATCTTACGTGATCTTTTCTGCTTTTAGTTTCCTAGCCACCTACGTCTGTCGATTTTAACAAAAGTTATATTAATCGACATGGCATGTGCGTGTTACCCCCGCGGCTGTCGCCTTAGCAGTAGCTTCAACTGTACTACAAAAAAATCCTGCGCAGTGCCAACGTGCCGCTTTCGATAATTGAAATAATGGTGGACTCAGACAAGGAAGCTTGAGACGACGGACTACAACAAAATCAGCACGATAAGCATTTTGACAAATCGCCAGTATAAATTGTTGTTGCTATGGCAGGAAGGCGTGCAGACGCTAGTCAGTAATATGACGGGCAAGGTCATCTCGGTCGATGTGAACCCTTTGAAAAGTACTCCAGGAATAACGTATACATGTAACCTAACAAACAACGTCGATCGCTGGTGGCAAACGACAACGTAAGGCCAGGCGCACCCTTTTTGGAAACAGCAATCTAATCGACGTGATGAATACAAATGACGATAAAAATGAATAATATCCATGCCTATCTAATTTCAATGACATATTTTGCGATATCTGTTGGCGCTGTAGAGTCGACGCTTTACATTATTCGTCGTCTGCGTGGACGTGCTTCTGAGCATGCGGGATTCTCCACAAATTTAAATTAGACAATGCAAAAAGAAGCTATGACGTATCTACGACACGTGACCCCTCTTTTTACGACAAAGAACCACGTAACGAATGCATACTCAGCGATTGGATGCACGACAACAAAAGTCTCATTTTATTTAAGCTTTGGACGAATAATGATTGCTTATAGAGATGCCAAGTGGAATGCGCGCAAAAATAGAAGACGATGATGCTGAAGTGCTACCGTCGGCGTTATTTAATAATGGTATTAAACAATATCGCGTCGTATGAAAGCTGCAAAGATGTATGAATTATTTCTTCTTGAGTGGAAGACATCATACACATCATCTTAGGTACTTAAAGAAACGGGGCCCCCACCCCTCTGTACAGCCAACAACCTACCTACATCAACACTGTATATTAATATGCCTCGGCTTTTCACGTACAGTGTACGTTCAGAGGAAGGCTTGATCTCTCAAACGAACACGTTCAAAAGTAGTTGAGACGTTATTTGACATATAATAAGTGTCCACACCTGATCCGATTTGATCATACTTGAAATGTATGTTACTACAAACGTCAAATGTAGCCATCTGCTCACCACCTGTTGCTCGCGTCCAGAAGCGATTGGTATGTATTTGATTGACATAATTGGCTGTCTCAGCCAACAGGTGGAGTGGTGCTGAATATTACCTTTTAAAATATACTTCCTACAACATTTACTCAATGAGGTAAATAATGTTTAATGTTGTACATTAAGATTGTCTTCTAATTGACCCATTGTGGTAGTAATTGCATGCAACGGGCTCACCCCGTTGCATCAGAACTTCTTCACAATCCACTAGTGTGATTGAGCGACGAATGGTTGGTAGAAGAGTGATAGAAATTGAATCACTCTAGGAAAGAAGGCACTTGTTGGTCGACCTAATGCATTCCTTACTATCATCTCCGCCTGGTTAACAAGTTTTCCAGCCGAGGCTACAAAGTAAGCAACTTGAAAGAAGTGTTTGGATGCCGAAGAGACAGACGAGTACGAAGCAGTACGAGATTATTTGCCTACTGCTGCAAGTGAATAGTCTGCACCGTCGATGACGTAGGTGCTCGCAGTTTTGCAACGTTTTTTTCTGTAGCGGTGCGAGTCCCAGGAAGTACAATGAACCCGAGTTCAAATTCATCTGTTCTGGCAAGTTTGTTGTGGCATGCGACTCGTAAGCGCTTGCCGATCCTTCTAGTTGTATGAAGGCAGAGGGATAGACGGCGTAAGAAGCACTTCACGGTTACAAGCACCGTGTTGCTAGGAGCAGAGGCAAAAGATCGCCATCTGACTAGCCAGACGAATTTTCTTGTGATTTCAATTGATCGAGCTCAGACGATCTCAACGTAAGTGATCGGCACAATGGGTATAGCCCCAAAGATACGGGCGGTGATTCTAGTCGAAGTAAACGGAGTCTAAGCATTCATGGTGATCGTTAATTCAATACTTGTGTAAAGGATCGGTGTTCTCAAAAATGCTGATGTAATCCCGACTTCCAACAATACGCAGGCTTCTTACTATCAAGAGAATGTGAGATGGTTCCATTTATACTTCTTTACTCACTTTTGTACCCTTTATCAGGGCAAGATGTGCTAAAGCATAATTAGGTTATGATGCTGTCTCTAAGAAGAAGATCGGCTTACGGCCGGGGGTAAAACCCAAAAAGTGAGTTGTATTTAAATAGTTCTTATCTCAAAATGAATGCATCTTAGAAGCCGGTAACTCTCTCAGCCACCTATTACGTGTCCTGTCTCTACCGCTTGCAGTTTCTACCTAACGGTGTGTAGTTATGTCTCGTAGCATAGCTTTGGTAAAAAAAATCTGCTTTTCATATGCAGAATGAAAAACGATTGCGTGATTAGGGGGACGTAATTCTGGAAGGTTCGCAGCTCTGATGAATATCCAAAACCAGGTAGTGATAGTCATTGACAATTAATATGACCACAGCGGGACTCGAAATTGTACTCAACCGCGTAAAATTCCCATTTGACGATTGATCCAATCAGTTACTCCGTCGACCTCGCTAACATCCCACCATTAACAATGCCAAAGAACCATACAACAAATGATAATATGCAATATACATCGTGCACATGTCGCCGCAACATTGCTTGCTAACAATTTTCACTCTTCTCGGTGGGCCTAAGTCGATGCTATAATTGACCAGGTCTGCGATTGGTCGGACGAGTCGACCGCACAAAACCCTTCGGATCGAAATTATTTCTTGGGTGCTCCTTTTTGAAGCTACCTAAATCCATCCTGATATTGCATTCTGTGGTGTGGATACTTGATCCACTTGACCTTCTGATCACTTCAGCCATCTCGCGATCTTTTATCCAATCCTTTTCGTTATACTGCGCCCAGTCACAAGGGAAGCGTTTGTGTTCAGATATATAGCATTCCTGGTCAAACAAATTAGGAGTACGACTTATGTAGTAGTGCAACAGAGCTTTGTAGAATTCGGTAGACAAGGGTATCCCTCCTGAAAATGAAGTTTGCTTGCGTGTTTATCAAATATA